AAGATATCTGAGAATCCATTTCACGGCTGCCCAGTGCTCTTTACCCGGATTCGACATGTAGCGGCTAACAACCCCAACTGAATGAGCAATATCTGGTCTCGTACATACCATGGCATACATCAAACTACCCACGGCTGAAGCATAAGGCACCTTGTTCATCTCTTGCTTTTCTTTCTCACTTGTAGGGCAATGGTCCATACTAAACTTCATGTGGCCTGCAAGTGGAGAGCTCACGGGTTTAGCATTGCTCATGTTGAATCTACCAAGCACCTTCTCAATGTATCTCTCTTGGGATAGCCAAAGTTTCTTGTTCTTTCTATCCCGCGTGATCCTCATGGCTAAAATCTCTTTAGCAGGGCCTAAGTCCTTCATTGCAAAGGACTTACTCAATGACTTCTTCAAGCTAGCAATCTTCTTGGTGTCTGTCCAACAATCAACATATCATCAACATATAAAAGGAGAATAAGAAAGTCACCTTCGGAGTAATTCTTCACAAACACACAATGATCAGCGTGTGTTTTGTGGAAGCCATGATCAACCATAAAAGACTCAAACTTCTTATACCACTGCCGAGGTGCTTGCTTCAGACCATACAAACTTTTCTTCAAACGGCAAACTAAGTTCTCCTTTCCCTTAACCTGGAAGCCTTCACGTTGCTCCATGTAGATTTCCTTATCAAGATCGGACTTCGTTTGGCCTTCGATCCGGAGGTGAAAAGTTGCTGCTGTAGAGAGTGGCGGAAATCCTTTTTTTTTCTTCTCACTTCTTGCGTTAGCTACTGCCCATTCTTCACCTCTTCTTCTTCTTTCTTTCTCCCTTATCCCTTTTTCTCTTTTTTTTTCTTTTCATTTATTTAGTATATGGGCCATCATAAAATATTTGGGCTAAAACTTTACACACAAAAAATAAGCCCAAAACAAAAGAGAGATATAATGTGTTGTCCAATTAAAATTGAGCACTTCCTCCATGTAGGAGGGAAATTTCCCAACACACTCTGCGTTGGAATTCAGCAGATCGAAGGTGGCGACTTCCAGTCAGCCAGCGGCGCACCTTTTTCCGGCTCGGCGTTAGGATTATGAGTAAAAATCTGACAAAATCCATACAATATTAAAACTCATAGATTTTTGAATATTTCAATATTTTAGAGACTTTGAAAAATCCCTATTGAATACCTCAAGATTTTTTAGAGACTTTTAAAAATACAAATTGAATACATTTAGATTTTAAAAATTAAAAAATTCCAACAGACTCCTAATTCAATACACCCCATTTAGTCTCTCTGTGCTAATGTTGTCGTGTGATGGATATAATCCATTAATACCACCCGGCAAGTTCACAGGCGCCCGGGGGTACCAAATTCTGACCCCACATGACCTCACCAACCCCGGTAGACTGACCGGGTGGATGTCGGGGGTCAGACATGTGAGATCGTGACTACATTCGCATAAGGTTTAGAGTCTGACCAGGCTTAACTTCACCGTCCCCGTTAATCTGCCCGGGTGGATGGCTTAAAGACTGCCCGGGTGGATGACCTGAAGACTGCCCGGGTGGATGACCTGAAGACTGCCCGGGTGGATGACCTGATGACTGCCCAGGTGGATGACCTGAAGATTGGATGGCTTGAAGACTGACCGGCCGGAAGAACAGGAACGTCGGGACGTGCTTGACGTGCTTGTTTTTATTATAAATACCCCTAAAAGCCTCATTCGTGAGGCATGCTTTAATTAACATGTACGGCTTGTATTTGTAATAACTCCTATTATCATTAATAACAAACCGGGTTACAGGTGTTTCCACCTACAACCCTTCCAATCACTTACACTTAGCATTTGCGTGGTAATTTACACCATCATCGTGGATTTTATTTTTGTGTTTGTGACAATTTAACAACATAATAATTTAAATAAAAGTATCTACTACCTTCGTCCCAGTATATTTGTCTAGTTTGACTTTTTGAGTCAAACTGGACAAATTTTAAACTCCAATTGCTCTTAATTTATATTGCATATTAGTATAATGAAATACAGTTTTGAAAGTTCTCAATACGATAAATCCAATAAATTTATTTTTATGTTAAAATACATTACAATTTTTATTTAATTGAAACTCAAAGTTTGTCTAGTTTGACTTGAAAAAGTCAAATTGGACAAATACACTGAGGGAGTATTTGACAGCACTTTTAAATTTTAAATGGGAGTATTATTTGATATTTGGATTTTGGAAAAGACTATCCACAATTTTTTTTCCAATTTTTTTTCGAAGTTAACTATGCATTTTTGTACTCATATTTCCTACCTAAAGGCGGCACCGGCTTTTCGCTCACCAGGAGGCTGGCCCAGGTTGGGTTAACTCGTTAGAGCAATACGGCCGAGTCAATTCGCCATACGCAGCGATTCGACTCGCTCCTTGGATTGAGTTTCTGATCCTTCGCCGTCATCTTCAAAACCCCAATCAACGTTTTCCGCGCTCTCTCTCTCTCTCTCTTGCCCATTTTTTTTCTCTCCAGAGAGAGAAAGAGGAAGGGCATAGAAAAAGGCCACAGATTCTCTCAATCCGTAACTGGTACAATCGCAGGGCCGGATCCCCTAATCCCTCGCAAGAATGTCGCACTCAGTGTTCCAGGCTGCTCAAATCGGGCCTTTATACACTCAGAGAGCTCCCGCTTCCAAGAACTTATCGCCACAGAAGCCGCCGTTATTGCACCCCGCCGTTCCCCTTCGCCGGCCGACGCTTCCGCGGGCAGTGGCCGGGAAGTTAAGGAAATCATGTATCAAGGCATCGTCGTCCGTGGTAGACGGGGAGTCGGTTTTAGGTTTGGAGCGTTGTCTTCTGGCTTCGCCGCCGATGGATTCTCCCGATTGCTTGTCATCAAGTTATTCCTCGGCGTCTACTGTTATGCACGCGCCGGTTATGAAGGGTGGAGGGAAGTTTGGGTCGATGGGTTCGGTTACTCTGGAGAAACCCAAATTGGATTTGAGTCAGAAGAAAAAACAGTCCAGCCCTGAGGTTTTACCCCTTCTCCCGTTTTTCCTGTACTTCTAACTTGTTAAGCAATGGGAAGTAGGTTTATATTTTCCTAGCAGGTTATTGTGTATGATTGTGTAGATTTGAATGTCTGCTAGCAATATACGGAGTATTACATGTTTTCATGAATTTGTGAAGAACATTGCTTAAATTTGACAATAATAACAGCTTGCAACTGGAGGCGGAGGTGGAGATATTGGCAAAAACATTTTTCACGGGGGTGGTGATGGTGGTGATGGTGATGGTGATGATGACGATTACATGGATGACTTTGACGATGACAATGAGGGAGATGATGGCGGGTTGTTCAGAAGGCGCCTGATTCTTCAAGAGGTAATTTCTTATGATGCTATGATGTCTCAAAATCATTGCTACATTTCTTCAAGTTTCAAATTATTTGATATGGAGCAATGCAATTTATGTAGGGATAAATTGGGTTTCTCATTTTCAAGTATCTTTATGGACCATCTATTGATTTTACATGTGGTATATGAGTGTTTAGTAAATCTCACATCTTGAGAGTACTTTTGGGTGAGTTGAATCAAATTTGAGATTGATATCAGAGTGTGTTCCAATAGCGGGTTGTTGGGTGCCGACATACAAAATGGGCTGGGATACCCTTGCCTCAGTTTAGGCCCATTTGTTCATCCATTCTTGTTCCAGTTTACTACATCTAATGTATAACTATGAGTTGAACTTTAGTTTTTGAGGCTCCATTTGGTGTGTTTAACACTTGTGATTTTCCAGATTTTTGATCGAAAATTTGTGGATGCGGTCTTGAATGAGTGGCAGAAGACAATAATGGATTTACCAGCTGGATTTCGGCAAGCATATGAGATGGTAAAACATCTCTTATTAATTTTTTTTGTATTTAGTGTAATGATATTCATTATTATTGCCAAAATATTGATGGGTGTGTTTGCATCAGGGTTTGGTCAGTTCAGTACAAATGGTAAGGTTTTTGGCTATTAATGCCAGACCCACCACAGCTAGGTTCATTTCTCGGTCAATTCCTCAGGGACTTTCAAGGGGATTTATTGGCAGGTAATTCTGCAAATTACTAGCTTTAAGTTAATATCTATGCTTACTTCCCGCTTGAAGGCAACATCTAACTACGTCAATCACTTAAAGACGAACACCAAACTCAAGCAGAACCCTCTTAGCCCCTATTTGTCTATCAAATATTCTATCATAATAACTAGGGTCTAGGGAGACTTTTTTAATAGCTATTGGGATTGATGTTCAATAGTTTGAACAAATATGCCCAGTTTGAGTTATTTTTATCGTGATGCACTGTTGTCATTCCTCTAACTATCTGATTTTCTTAATATTACTCCCATAAGAATTTGGGCGATTCATCTTGAATCTATTTTTGAATGGTACAGGATGATTGCAGATCCAGCATTTCTGTACAAGCTGCTTTTTGAGCAAGCAGCTACAATTGGGTGTTCAGTTTGGTCTGAGGTTAAAAACCGCAAAGAGAGGTATAGTTTTGATTCATATATTCTAAAGCTATGTATGGAACCTGGAAAATGACAGGTGAAGGAAAGTAGATGCCAAGGAAAATGATAGCTTAATGTTTTGGTTTACCCTGGAAATACTGTGGAAAGTCGAATTGAATTGGAGCTCTTTAAAATTTTACATATATTTTGATTTTTTATCTTTCTTTTAATAAAAATACTCCCTCCGTGTCAAAAAGGATTCCCACTTTGAATTCGTAGAGATTAAGAAGAGCATTGAAAAGACATTGAAAAGATGTTGAATAGTGAAAAGTGACTAGTTATGATTTGTTTAGAAGAATGAGAAGTATTTTGGACCATATATTCTTTGTTTAATAGGGAGAGAGAAATAGTAGGAAATTTATTTTGGGATGAATGAAAAGCAAGATATCCTTTCTGGGACGTAGGTAGTATATAAATAAAACAAGTTAGAACTAATATCTAAAATGGATTTATTGAATATGATCATCCCACACGTTTTGGTTTCAGATTTCCCCCCAAATTTTCCCTGCCTCTGAAGTTCTCATATATTTTCTCTCCCTATCTTTTTCTAGATTCCAAACGGACCCCAAAGAAAATGAGATACACTAATGATATTTTTACTATTGATGTGAGCTTATGTTGCTTTTATGATCACAATGTGTAGGATAAAGCAAGAGTGGGATCTTGCCCTAGTTAATGTGCTCACAGTAACTGTATGCAATGCTGTCGTGTTTTGGTCTCTCGCTCCATGCCGATCATATGGAAACACTTTCCGCTTTGATCTACAAAACACTTTGCAAAAGCTCCCGAATAATATATTTGAGAAGAGCTATCCATTAAGAGAATTTGATGTGCAGAAGAGGTTTCAATCATTCTTCTACAAGGCTGCTGAGTTCTGTATGGTTGGATTAACCATGGGTGCTGCTCAAGGTGCTATATCAAATTTCGCTTCCAATAAGAAAAAGGAAAGGTGTGTGTTTATTCTGTTGTCAATCTTGCTGCCAGTTAGAAAAAAATCATGAGACAATGATGGGTTAAGGTGACATCTAGTTCACTGAATGTAAGATCACCTTAGGTAATAGGATAAAGGGAATGCAATATCACCTTTGACTAATGGAATGTTGCACTCCTTGTGTTCCATTCCATTGTGCATACTTTGATTGCACACGGAAATTCAAGAAGTGCATATTGTGTTTGAAATTTATGGAGAGAAGAGAAACATAATGATCTGCATAATGATTTCTATAGATGGAAGGACACAAAATAAATAGGGGCAAACCAAAAAACCATGCATGATAAATTGAGACTGGGATTATCAGTCATGTGGTTAAATTGTCAGGGGCCATGTCTGAATATTTTAAAAATTTAACCCTGGTAATCTTGCAGTACCTAAGAAACCCAAAGTAATTACATTAACTTATTTTCCAATGTGGAGGCCGAGGCAATCTAACACTACCAAGGCAATTTGAGATTAACTGAACCAAACATCCCATAAGGTTAAGTTCCATGGAATGTAATTGAGCTTATCAATTACTGTCTAAATATATTTTTAAACTGCTTTCTTCTGCAGGTTATCTTTGAGTATTCCATCAGTGAGAAACAATGCACTTGGTTATGGGGCATTCTTGGGTGTATATGCAAATCTGCGATATCAGCTGTTGTGTGGCTTTGACCAAGCAATGATGAATTACTTTGATGTTATTGGTGTTCCTCTCTTTTTAAGCATTGCCATGAGGTATATATTTATCCATCCAGTTCTCCAACATACTGCACCCATCATAGAATATTTTCTGTCTTCATCTTTTGGTTACACACAAACATTTCCAGATTTAGGTCATTCCTCTGCTAGTCATGGTGGCTAGTTAACAACAACAAACCTAATAAAATGCCACAAGTTTTTCTTAGGGATGGTGAGTGTATGCAGACTTTACCCATACCCTAGAGTAGAGAGGCTGTTCAAGGGACTCTTAACTGAAACATAGGAAAAGTGGCATACTAAACATTGTAGCACAAGCAAAGTAAGAGCACAGCCACGCAAAGCCCCTCACAATGGCCTGATCCTCATAGTCAAATCCCCCCAGTTAGGAAGAGTTAAATACTCCTGAATAATGATCCTAATTTATATTTTTCGTTTGATGACAAAGTTGGACGTGGAGTCCTTTAGCAACCCAGAAAATGCTAGGGAAAGATAGTAGTGAAGAAGATAGAGGTGATCAGGTTAAATTTGGAAGGAAATAAAAATTTGGGAAATCTAAAGAATTACAAGCTCAAACTCAATGGGTCAATTTTAATTATTTCTTCAAACTCATGTCCTTTATATCTTTTTAGTATATTATTGTCTAAGAAATTTAAATTTATTTAAAGGTAAACCCAGGTGTAAACAACTATTATCCTTTCTCTCCAATTTTTTGCATTACAAAATGGCTGTAAGAACTTCTAACATTAAACTCATAAGTTCTGTTTCTTTTCACTCAATGGAAAATTCATTGGGAAAAAAATTAAAAAATTCCTCCAATTTCTCTCCAGTTGAATCATTAAATTGTCATTGTCATCATACTCATCACCGGTTACAAATGATTTAATTGCATCCAGAGTGATGAATGTGCAAGTGGGAGAGATTTCGAGGCTGGCATGGCTTGGGGTGGAAGCGGACCCACTTGCCCATTCAGACGACCACCTCCTGAAAGCGTACAGTAGATCATCGGAAAGCCCTGCCCCGTCATCTTCCAAGTGGCTTACACCCAAGGACGCAATCATATCTGGGCTTGGGCTTCTCGGGATCAAACAGGCCCAAAGCGACGGTGAAACAGCAACCGCACCACCTCCCAAGGCCAGGAGAAAAAGACTAGTCAGGAAAAAGGTAGCAGCAGCATAATAATTTGGACACAAATAGAAAGAAACCCATCAAAATATTCAGTTTTGCACTCTGGCTGGGCTGCATCATCTGTTTATGGCTGGCTGGAAGAGTTTCTTTGAGACTAAGAACAAAAACAGGAGCTGATGCCTGACAGTGATCAACTGCTGCAATGGTGTACTCTGTGAGGGGAGAGATTTTGCTACACATTCTTTTTTGTTGTTGTTGTTGCTGGCTAATCTTTAGTGGTGGTAATTATGAATAACTTTATTTATACAATCATTTCTATCTGCTACAGAGTAATAAAAAAGTGTGCTGTATTTGTGATTGCTGAGAGCTTATTTTTAGAAAAATAAAATTGATGTTAGAATGTGGGAAGAGATTAGAAAAACTTACGGAGTATCACATAGTTCTTCCAATGAGTTTGCTCAATTTGACTTTTTTTATACTCAAAGTAGTTAAATTTTGTGTTTCAATTAAATAAAGCTGTAATGTATTTCAAGGAAAAAATGATTAGACAAGATTTTTTAATTGAAAACTTTTAAAATTGTATTTCATAATAATAAGATGGCGTACAAATTGAAGCTCAAAATTTGTCTAATTTGAGTAAAAAAAATCAAACTAGACAAATACGCTGAGAAGTAGGTAGTATTCACTACACATATATAGTGTCGTAGCATGTCTCGAAGTTGTTTGCTCGTGACCAATATAGTCGGGTCGGTCTCATGACTCGCACCATGATCCTCATTATGTGGCTCAACCATTGACATTAGGTTGGTAGGCTCATGGTTGAGGATCTTTTCTCTTCAAACTCATGCCTCTATTGGTTCGGTAGTATAAATGGCTAACGTATGAATTAAGAAATGTAGAAAAAAGTCATTTTAAATCATATTCACATAGAAAGTTTAAATGTTCTTTTACATCTAAATATAGTTAAAAATCAACTTGTGGTTTTCTTTCCACTCAATGATCATTTTTGGAGTTGAGTATCACAACTATTTTCAAAATCTTTTATACGAGACATTTTAAATTATGTATTTTTCTTTTTTAGATATTCCAAAAAATATTTCCTACTTTATTTCTTTTTTTTTTGTAATGTGGCTCACAAGATTTCTTTTTATCTAAAAATTACAGAGTAATCTTACACTTTTTATTTTTTAATATTTTTCTTAAACTCCATAAAAGTTGGTAAGTTTTTTTTAAGACAAACAAAGTACTCTCTCCATCCAGAAATGAATTTTTCATTTTGGTTTGTAAGGTTTGAGTTAAGTTAATTTTAACTCAAGTGTAAAATTTGAATTATAAGTGTAAAGTTTTTAAAAAAATCATATACAACGTATTTAAAAACTATATAAAAAAGAGTCTTACAAAAAAAGTTAAGATGAATACATTATATTACGGAGTATAAAATACTCCGTAAAAAGTGAAAATAACAATGATAATGAATAAATTCTGAACTACATGGAAGGAAATAATTTACTCCCTCCGTTCCAAATTAAATTACTAATTTACTATTCATTTTCATTTTTTTATGTAGTCATTTGATAAAATAAAATAATCATGTTACCACTAGTTTTACAGATCTTTTGATGTAGTATTTTAATATGTAATGTTTATTTTTAAATTCTAATATATTTTTCATATAAAATAGTTTAAAAATTATTTTAATCAATCATCATAAATCGAAATAAGTAATAAAAATTGAGACGGATGAAGTATTATAATTTCAAAAAGTACCAAATACGGAGTATTTTTTTTTTATGAGTGGAAAAGGAGCACAATTACATTTGAGGACATTTGACCCAATAACAAAGCCCAATTAAAATCCTCAAGAACAATATTCCCTACCCCATCTAAATTCTTCACTCAGCCCTTAAACCTCCCCTCTCCGCCGGCGTTCCCTCCCCTCTCCGCCGTTCTCTCAACTTTGAGTTCCATTTCCAGCCACCGCTTCTTCATCTTAAAACCTTATCTCGGATCTCTTCTTTGAAGCAGTTGGATATTTGAGGTCAGATTCCTGTTTTTCTTTCATATTCGTTTTGATTTAGACATGCCACTCTGGTTTCTAATCTCAATTCACATGCATATTGGATAATCTGTTCGTTGAGAAGTATTTGCTTTAGTTAATTTAGAATTTATTTGAACTCGTATAATTTATTAATCCTTAAAATCTGTGCTTTTTATTTCTAAATTTGATGCTTGAAGGTGTGTAATTTTTTCCAATCAATTGGAACTAAATTTTAACATAATATGTTAACCACTATTGAGTTGTGAATGGTTGTCTAAATGTTTAGCAGATGCTCCATCTATTCAATTTGCTTTTGTGATACCTCAAAAGATGAATAAATATGGATATTTCTCTTGTCTAGATTCATTCATTTTCATGTATCAAGAAAATTATAATATTAAAAAAAGGAGGGAGTGCAGAGTATTATAAATTGGGCTAACAGTCTGCATCCTTAGGTATGATGAGGTCACATTTTTAATGAATGATTGAGATGGGCAAAGTTTAACCGATTGAAACAGTAAATGTTGCAGTTGCTCTTCACAATCATTGATTATGTACTTCTCTAGAATTTTTTTTATTGAAACCAATATTTTTATCCATGTGTTAAATGGCGGCATGAAGAATCCATGGAAGTATAATTGTGTGATCCCTCAAATAGGGAAAAAAGACCATAAGTACTCTCTTCTTTTAAACACAAATTAGTGACATTTTGGATATGGATGGCGTTGGGTCAAGTTCTACTATATTCCAACCCAACTTTAAACTCGACTGCACACCCAACCCGACCTGATTCCGGTTTTGACTTGCCAGTAAGATTCTCGGGTATTTTAATATTGTTTACACTTATGTTTGGTTCAAGGAATTTGAGACAAAAAAGAGAAGAAAAAGAAATGGAAAAGAAAATTTCATGTTTGGTTATAGAGGAAAAGAGTGGAAGGAACAGAAAATGATATGCTAAAATAAGCTAAGAAGATGGAAAGCATGATTCCTTCCATTTTGTTGAGGAAAATGAGAGAAATTATTTTATTTTCCTTTCCTTCATAATTTCTTAAACTAAACATAGTATTAGGATCAGTTAAGTTTGTGGATTTGGGTCAGACTGCCATAGTGCCATCCCTAGTTATGGATGAGTTTGCTTGGGATGTAACTACTAACTATTTGGTTGTTTTGGAAAATCATGACATATATGAATGTCTTGTCTTCTGCTTGGGTTGAAGAATTGAATTTAGGGGCATGCTAGATAATTTTTTCTGTTACACTGTTTGTTAGTTTGTGTTGACCTTTTGCTGCTACTGCTAGAATTGCATGTTTCTTCAGTTTCAACAGCAGAATAATGCCACAAAAGTTGTTGTTTTCAGATTAATCGAAGCAAATAACATTGTTAATAGTGTGTTATATAGAAAAATTTGGCTTCTGATTAAAAATGCAAAGATTCTGACTGTTGAGCATTTTGGTGCTGTAGTAGGTTTCAAAAATGAGGCCATTGGATGAGAATGAGACCACCCAAGTGTTTGAAAAGCTCTATAAATTTGTGGGCAACAATCTGAAGAACATTGTGGAAAGCCCGTCTCACGAGGGTCCTGACCAGACTCCAGGTCGGTACTGTTTCCGTCTTCAAAAGAATCGAGTCTACTACGTGTCGGAGTCCATTGTCAAACGCGCCATCAGCATAAAGAAAGACAACCTCATCTCGTTGGGGACCCAAATTGGGAAATTCACCAAAGGAGACAAGTTCCACCTCACCATCCAGTCCCTCACCTTGTTGGCTGCACACGCGAAACACAAAGTATGGCTGAAGCCCACGTCCGAGATGAGCTTTCTGTACGGGAACAACGTGTTGAAAGGTGGGGTCGGTAGGATAACGGAGAATGTGGAGGTGAACGACGGGGTTGTGGTGTTCTCAATGTCCGATTTGCCCCTGGGATTTGGGATTGCTGCCAAGAGCACCCAAGATTGTAGGAAGCTGGACCCTAATGCTAATGTGGTGTTGCACCAGGCTGATATCGGCGAGTACTTGCGGATGGAAGATGAACTTTGAAACTTTGTGGGCTAGTCTTGTTTGTTTGGGAATTCAATTTTATATGCATTATTCCAGTTGGGAAATGATATTTATGTCCATTATAAGTGCTCTGTGCTGTGCTTGGATGTTCTGTTTTTGGAGACTTTGTGTTTTTTACATTGGCGTTCCTTTTTTGGAGAGTAGAATTGATGTACTCCGTAGTACTTTTTTCCTGATTAAAATGCATTATGCCTGGTTGAGTTCACTTAGCTTATCAATCAAAAAAATGGCATGTCCTAAAAATGTGTAATTTTGATACTATTATTTTCTAATTTTGCTTTTTATTTATGATAAGGTAAGATATAGTGTTTAGGATAAATGACTCATAATTAAAAATAATGTCAAAATTATTTATTTGGTTTCAATAATTAACTAGGTAATCACTAAGTATATTATGCTTTGTACTCGATACAACATACTGTATTAAACAATGAATAAGATTAGCTGGTTAAGGTTGGTTGTTTAAGCTGATGGAGCACAAATAACTAGAATAAATGTATACGTGTGTGTGGTTATAAATTATTTGGTTTGAATGAGGGGTGGGCACGATATCAGTCTGATTTCAGAATTGCTGGTACATAATATCTATATTAGGACGATGGAGAACTAATTCCAATACCATCGGTTCTATTCTGGTTTCAATACATGGTCGATTCTAGTTCGGTCTAGTTTCTAATTAATTTTTTTATTTTCTCGTTAAGGATGTTACTAGTTGTATATTTGGCTTTGTACTATTTTTCTGTTAGTACATATTGTATGTCAATCTTAGAATACGTTAATTTTTTTTAATTAATGTGAAAGTTATGGCGACACCAATATCCAAATACCGTTGTGTGATTACACACTATTTTAATGGGGAGAGGGTATCACCCCAGTCACCTTTGTAATTTTCACATTAAAAAAAGAATATATGGTACACAATATTTTTCTTGTAAATAAATTCTAATCACTACATTTTAATTCTTAAATATTTTTTTCTTAAAGTTTCATAAAGTTAAATAATGATATTTTTCTTAAATTTGGTATAATCAAATAGTGAATTTGTTTAGATGAAGTGCTTTGATTTCACTAAAGTGAAATTTCCACTAAAAAGATACTAAAACATGTCATTTTATAAAGTATATCAAAAAAGTTTTATTAGTTAAATGGTACTTGAACAATTTCTATTAGCGAGAACTATGTCTAGTGATAGTGAACATAAACTTTGAACAATATCTAGTGGTAGGGGATCAGATTTTTTAAACATAATCTTTAAAAATGTCCAATGAACATTGTTGCTAAATTAGAAAGTTAACATATGTGGAATGACATTGAGAAACTCACTAAATTTCACTATTATATACTCCGTATGTAATTCCTTCACAACCCTTTTAAAGATATAATTAGAGATAATATACTAAGATAATATCATATCAATAGATTTCAACCGCATAACTTCACAATCCCCGTCTTAAAATTATAGTTACATTTGGATTAACGTGTAAAATTTTATCTCATTGAAACTATTTTATTTTCAAATTCTTATGGAAATAAAATATACAATTTACACTGTCGAAAAAAAAAATATACAATTTACATATTTAGAAACTAAATAAAAAATATTAAAAATAAATGGTGACAAAAATATTGACAAAAATACTACTCCCTCCGTCCAAAATTAATGTTCTCACTTTGACTTGGCACGGAGTTTACTAAAAATTGAAATTTGCTTTGACTTCCCTAAAATGCCCCTCCACCTCTTTCTTCTTTTCCTATCCATCCATCTTCTCTTTGCAATGGGATTGGCGACAGACCTCTCCCTGCTCCGCCACTAGCTTCGGTGGCTGCTTTACCTAATCTGATCGCTGCCTCACTGCTATACTGTCATCGCCTTCGGCTCCTTCAATTTCAAAAAAAAAAAGATGAAGAAGGAAGAAGTCTGGGGCTCCTTCTTTCGAATCCAATACACCATCATCAATGTACTCCACCACCACAATAGATTTCTTCATCGCCGTTGACCTCTTTCACAGATCTGAATCGGATTTCTCAGATCTGGATTGGGGGACAAAAAAAGAAGAAAAATGGGAAGAAATGAAAGGAAATGAAAGGAAATGGGAAGGGGAGGGAGAAGAAGATGAAAAGAAGAAATGAAAAAGAAAAGAAAGGAAAAATCGGGAGGAGGGGAAGAAGAAAGAAGAAGAATGAAAAAGAAAATAAAGAAAAAATCGGGAGGGGGGAAGAAGAAAGAAGAGAAGAAAGAAAGGAATAAGAAGAACAATCAAAAAAAGAGAAAGGAGAAGAAACCGAGAGAAGAAAAAAGAAGGAAAAAGGAGAGGAAAAGTAAAAGAAAGTGAGGGTAGATATGTCTATTTAACAAAAAGAAGTTACCAAAAAAGGAAATGTGAACTTTATTTATGGACGGACCGAAAAGGAAAATGAGAACTTTATTTGTGGACGGATGGAGTATTATATTTTATCAAATATGACGGGACATAGGCCCCGTTTGGTATACGGAATTCAAACTATGGAATTGGAATTGAAGACTTCAATTCCAATTCTGGTGTTTGGTAGCACATAAATTATGTAGATTTGGAATTGATAATACAAAAAATGAATTGGAATTGGTGAATTCAATTCTATGGGGTTGAATCCCTTGGAATTTCAATTCCAATTCAATTCTAATTCCATCAATTCTGTATACCAAACGAACCTATATGATCAAAATACCGACTTACAGTTTTACGGAAATTAATTTGAATGGAAGTATTTAATTTTTACTTGGAAATTAAGGAAAGGGTAGATTTTTAAACTCTTTTACCGACTTACAGTTTTACGGTTGACGAATCCATTTGACGTCTCTACCCCTGGGAGCAAATGTGTTGGACCAGAAAGATGGGTTCCGCAGCAGTGCCTTCCAATCCGACGTTTCCTCGTCCACAGGGTCCCACCCCCACCGGCCTCATCGCCAACGCCGCCGTTCTCCGCCTCGGTATCCACCTCCACCGCCGCCTCCGCCTCTCCTGCGCACTCCGCTCATCCATCAAGGTATCGAAAACTAAGTTATCCAACGATGCTTTCCCAGGAGCTTCCATCTATTTCCACCTTTTTTTTGCATTTGAATTTGCTGCTTCTAGATGTTCAGTCCGGAAACTGTAGTGTTTATGCTGTACAGAGTATAGGCGATCGATTTGGCATTCCAGCGTTTAAGGCGCTTCAATTTGATGGTTTGGATCTTCTGGACTGGTCACAGAATGTGCTGCCCACCACTTGCTGTATGAGGTTTTCGTTGCTCGACGGAGATGGAAACCTAAAGCCTTCCAATGAATCTGTTAACTTGTCTCGCAGTTCCGTATCTAACGATCGCAAATTAACTAATCTTCTCATAGGCATTAACATATTGTGAGTGCCATTTTTCTCAGTTGAACTCCAACTTTGAATTCTACTTATTCTAGTTTAGATTTTGAATGGATGTTAATCTTAATTTCTTATTGATATTACTGATTGCTAGTTTTATTAACCATGGTCCTAAATCCTAATTTTCTCAGTAATTTGGTGTGTATTATGATAGCTAGAAAAGTTAAATCTATGTCTCCCTCTACATTGTCATCAGAGCTTATATTGCTCAAATTGGAACAAAAGGGCAACTATTGACTTGGGGAGCTAAGGTTAGAATCATATCAACTTTTTTCATCTTTAAGCAGCACGGAGTAATATGACTCTGGTTAGGGTAGGGAAAGTCTCGGGTAAAGGTTAAGATGGTGCCGGAATCACCCTTCAAGAGAATGGCTCTTGAGTTAGGTAGTGTCTTCATCCTCGCCTACAGAGGGTAATTTTGTCAAGTCTATAGCATTCCTTGAACCTTCTCGACCCCTTTCCCCACACCTAGCTTAATTCGAGTACTCTAATATGTTTCTCTATCAAGGTTTATTTGATATTGTACTGTGGGTATGCATATGATTGCAGGTCAATAGACTAATAGACAAAGGAGAAATATGGAGGTTGCTGACATGTTCATTCATGCATGCAAATGTTGGACATCTCCTGGTATGAATATATCGAACGATTGGTTTTTTGAAGTCGTTGCTGATTTCAGGAGGGAAATAAGTGCTATCACTTCTTTCAGGTCAATTGTTATTCCTTAAATTCAATCGGTCCAGAGGTGGAGAAAAATAGTGGTCCTATAAGATATATTGCTGTTTATATGATCTCAGCACTTGCAAGTAACATACTCTTCCCCATTGTTTTAAAAGAATGTAAGACACAGTGCCTTGTTTTCTAACAATAACCTCATTATGATTCCTAGTTTATGCTTGACCAGGTTCTACATGTAGTTACTGGTTCAGCAAAGCACCTGCAATTGGTGCTTCTGGAGCAATTTATGGACTGGTGAGCTCTTACTCTTTTCAATGAGAGATTTTCATGGATTTTTTCAAGTCTTTTTTGAATTCATGATCTTTCATGTTTCATAGTCATGTGACTACTATCAGCTGCCTCTCTCCGTATTGAGTCCATGGAGATGATCTTACCAGTTGTAAAATTTCCTTATTTGTACCTTTAAAAATATTATTGTTGGGAAAAATCTCAAATAATTTTGTAAGCATTTTTATATATAAAAGGACTAACTGATAAAATGAACTTCCATTTATTTGGCGACCTTATCAGGTTGGATCTTTTGCTGTGTTTGTCTTGAGACACAGAGGGGTACTCAAGGGAACTGAAGGAAGGCTTAAATATATAGCACAAACAATTGCTCTAAGTATGGTATAACATATCATGCCTTTGCAATTACTTGCTCTTGTAAGTTGTAACATCAATTGACTTGTTCAATCCACTGCACATAACCAATGTCTTTCTTGCAGTGTATTGGGCTTTTATCCAAAGGCATTGATAACTGGGGACATGTGAGTTTACCAATATCTGTTTGCTGCCTTATGATCTGTGTCTGTGTGTGTGTGTGCAGTTTCAAATCTCAAAATAAAATGAAAATTGATCTCTGTATGCATAAATGACACTCGTTGATAAGCTATTTTGAACAACAAAACATGTGTTCGTGTGTGTTAGTAGGGTGCAGGTTCATGGCACACTTGTTAGCACACTCAATATTTTTTGGGGCCCTACAGTGCTCCGTTGAGCCCAAAAATGTACCCGACCCCCCAACCCCCAGCCCAATCCCGCCACCCTAGCCCCCCTCCCAACTTGATGCCATCCCCTCTCCTACCACTGTTTACCATCAGCAAACAGTGCCCCCTCTCCAGCTTCATCTCACCCTCTTTTGGCCGACCCACCAACTCGCCCCTTCCCCCACCCACTATCGGGCTCAACGGGGGCCCTACCACGTCATTCAAACAGAAGATAGAAGTCATAAAACTAAGGCTTCTTTGATGGAAGGAGGGAATATATGGAGAAGAAATATTTATACCTTTGGGAAAGTAATCTTTTGAGGAGTAAAGACACACTTCGTATTTTATTCTGTTTGTTAGGAATAAAATTCTAATTATTCTGGTGTTTGGTTTACTTGGGAATGACAAAGGCACTGGTTGCACTAAGATCTTAATTTGAGATTGTTAGCTACCGATCTGTATGAGCCTATGAGGATACATTTGTCCTTGGTACATCAGCACATGTCCTTTTTCTTCCATGGGGTACTATAGGAAGAGCTGTTCATTTATTCCACAATGTTGAGGAAAAGAATCTCCAAGGAAGAAAAGGATTGCATCAACCTATGCTTCGTGTGTGTGCGAGTATCTTTTGAAAATAGGTTTTACGCTCCACCCAATGAGCCATAATATGATCTCGTAAAGCTCATGCCTCATAAGTCTGGTTTTTGCTCATTTGTCCAATTTGAATCTCTTTATTTCGATTGATACTTTCAGTTAGGAGGGTTGGTGGGAGGAGCTGCGACCGCATGGCTGCTTGGTCCTGCATTGAAACTTGAATACAATGGCAAACAAAGGTTCTTGGCTGATAAAGCGCCAATTTTCTCTCTCATCAAGGGCAGAAAGAACACACCCTGACTTATATTGAAGTTATTTGTGGGTTTCTTACAGGAAGCTGGTATGGATTCTCTCCAATTTAAAACTAATACATTCTAGTTCAATTCGTATTTAGTTTTGCTTTACCTGATACCCGGTCTTGTTTATACAGGGAAATTCAATCGTACACCTTTGGAAATATTGTACATCAACTACAAATCAATGAGCACTCGTTTTCCGATAGTAAGCATTTTAGTTTTCTTTAACATGCAATGATTGTGTACAGAGTGAGCAGTCATTTGTAAGGTATTAATGTGCCTACATTGGTACCATAGAATAACTCTACTTTTATAGGTTTTGTATGTGTATTATGCATTGGTGTGGATCCTTATGATATACGGAGTATAAGTTAGGGTTGTAGGACAACCTTTTATAATGGGGTGTTTGCTTGTCATGTTTTAACTAATTTGTCGTTATATCCTTATTTCGAGACACCGAGTTTATATTTGTTTCTAAAATCGAGGACACACAAGCGGGTTTTACTTCCTCAGTCTCATTTGCCATTGATATGTTCTTATGTTGATATGATTTCATTTTAATGGAGTAAACATTGTATAATTAAAATTTATCTTGATTTGAAGAAATAATTTATGATCCCCGCCTTTTAACTTGTTTCTTTTACTTAATGGGGAGGCATTTTCACTCTAGGTAATGCCCAACCCCATTGGCATTTTCAATAGGTTATGTGAATTTTATTCATTTAAAAAGAGGTTAGACATGAGGGATTATTTGGTTCTATATTCTTGCAATTCACTTGAGCTAAGCTATATGCATGTAGGGAGCATTATAAATGAGTCGTATAATTTTAATTTCTTTTGTGATTCGAATAATATAAATTCAATCCGAATAAGCATTTTGATCTGAATTACTTTCGAATACGAAAGCGTCTATACAAGTAGATTTGATCCAAATAATCTTCGAATATTACATTAGAAAAATGAATCTCAAATCCACACACAAATATCTATACTATACTTAAAGCGAGGGGAATTTTTTTCCGCCCATACGCGATGTTAATATATGGAAATTGTTTAGTACTTTAATTATCTTGCCTCAATACATGTGAAGCATATATGGATACTATTGAATGCTATGTTTCGTACAACTCTTTACATGGTAAGTATTACTTGCCTTTTTTGGTTTAATTTAATTTCTATTAATTACTAATTAATATGTTTCCATTTTAATTTAATCAATGGTAATTAAGTGTTGCAGTGCCATTCTTGGTTTCTATAAACAAAAATTAACAATAATAATAATTGCTAACCTAAGCAAACAATTTTATAATAATAAAAATATTACTGTATTATAATAATAATGATGATAATAATAATAATAATAATAATAATAATAATGATAATAATAAAGGTAGGTTCCTTTTACATGATTACCATTTATAAAATATTACCGTCTTTGGAAAAAAAACATGAAAGCATTGCCTTGATGGTGTGCAAAAATGAAAGTGGACAAATATAGTGGGACGGAGGGAGTAGTTTCTTTCAAGTGCACTTTTAAATATGGCCGTTGAAGAAAATTTTTTATTTAGTAACATAAATATGACCCGTGCAACGCGCGGGTGTGATACTAGTAGTGCATACACACACAACTATATATGCTCCTTTTGAAAACTCTTAGATAGACAAAGAAATCTACTTCGCAATAGGGAGTATTCATTGTATTTCATGTTATTCACCAAGTGTTCCAATCACGTTAAATATATTAAATTTCAAATTTGCTAAGGGTACACCAAAAATCAAGTATTCCATTTTAATGTACTCATTATATTGTACTCCCTTGGTCCCGTTTTAAATCGTCTATTTTGACTTTTGGACATATTTAAGGAAGAAAAAAAATAGAGTTGATTTTTCGAAATTGTCATTATTTTTTAGGAGGAGTGACGATGAATAAGAAGATAAGGTGGAGAAGAGTGACTTATTTTAGGGGCATTTTAGGTATTTTACTTTTAAAAGTTTACAATAACAAGTAACATGCAACTTATTTTGAAATGGAAAAAAAAAGCAAACAAACAATTTAAAATGAGACAGAGGGAGTATACAGTAAGGTTATCTCGTTGTGGGTGTCATATTATGACACCAGTCGAACTGAAAGCCCTATGGAAGCCCTATAGGTGAAATATAGAAAATGTTAAATTATAAAATGTCAAAATCAGACAAATATCCAGAAACTGAGATAGTAACTGACAAGGGTGAATTTGGGTCGGGTCGAGGTGGGGTCTTCATTGAGGGAATTAGGAGTCGTTTGAAGTGAGACATTTAATACTTTATTTTGAGACAGAAGAAATATTCCCAGCACTTTTTGCCGCATAATTTTTTATTTTAAAAAGAAAAGTACAGTATATAAAATCCAAAATCAGTATTCAGAACACTGTCAGGTCAAATACAAACAGACCGCACACTCGCACATGTAAGAAGTGGATTTTTTACTAATTGAAAGTTGCACACCAAAGAAAAATATAATGCTCACTAATGTGAATTTAATTGCTTAATTTACAATAAATGTACAATACTTGTCATTCATGTGATTGTAGGATAGAATTTCTAATTAAAAAAATATGAATACAATTATCATTCAAATTAATCTCAAATTCGCATATATTTCATTCAATTCATTTACACCCTACCCATAACCATTACGAAATATTTCACGAACATATCATCAAAAGTTACCAAGTATATATATACTTGGTATGTAAAAGTGTTCTGTGAGTTGACATATGATTTACAGTTACATTTTTTTTACTGAGTATCATGTGACTGAAGTATATTGAAATCTTCTTTCAAATACTTGCATTTACTGCAACAGATTGCAGCAGCAGCAGCAGCAGGGCAATGAGAACCCATTTCTACATTTTACAATTGGGTAATCTCATTGAAAACCCTGGCTGGCATTACTCACTTTTCAAAACAATGGATTGATTGTGTATAAGGTTAGTAGTATAATATTCCCTTCGGGAAAATTTACCCTGCAAGTCTTGTGGAGGTAAACATAGGCATATATGCATACACACACCTCTGGTTTTGACTTTTCACCTTACCATGGTTAAGTCGGCATGAGAATGAGCTGTCGGCTAACCAGACCATCGGGTTAGGAATATCAAGGAGCCAAGTAAAGTCATAAAGCAAAGCTGAGCGTGGGACCACCCCGTTTGACGTGCTGCAAAATTAAAGCCAAGCCATAAGAAGAATGTGACAGCTGTTAATCCAGTAGGAAGAAGGTGATGGTACTTGATAGCTACGTTGCAGGAGGATGGGAACAGAGAAACAAACAATTTTTAAATTTTTACATAGGATTTGGGTGTCGGGACATCCTCAAGAACCCAAACATGAATGTTTTGAAGACAAAAACAACACTTATTTGGAGCATATGTGCAATATAACTTCATAGGGCAGATTCAGTAAAAGCCAGAACCAAAACCAGTAAAGCGGGGATAGGAATCAAGACCAGATAATGGCTATGACTGGCATGCAGATAATGTAGCTGATTTGACCAAAAGTTTTTTTTATACTAAAAAGTTATTTAATCAAATTTTTTACATAATTTTAAATAAGTGTTTGGTAAAATAGATTTCAACTACTTGAAACTTACTTTGGTGGCAGAGATAAAACAAGTCAAGTGGGCATTATTTATTCAACCTAGTTCCAAGAGATAAAACAGGGGTGCATTATTTTTAAGTATTGTTTCAAACTTACATGGAAGAGAGGATGAGATTGAGGGCGAAGGGGCAAAGCTTTTAGGGTTTCTTTTGACCCGGTGGCCTCCATTGGATCCATGAGATATGGGAGAAGGAGTGGGGGGCATTTCCCGACTCTCACTTCTATGTCGATCATGAATGTGCAAAGGAGACAATTGAGATGGGGATGGTGAAGGAGCTGGTGGTAGTGGCAAAGCTTGGAGTGAATGATTCAAAAGAGAAGAGAGGCTTATTTCCTTAACTTTGCCAAACACAGAGTTATCAAGACCAAGATTCCTTGCTGTCGAACGTGATCCAGTAATGATTTTTGCCAATTCTCTTAATCTTTCCTGAGGAAGACGTCCTGCGTCTGAAACAATTGAAGCTTCAACTGTAACAGGGGATTCCACCGTGGAGCCCTTTTTGTTGTTCACTTGCACAAACACATTCTGGTGGGAGAAAATAAGAAAGATCAAATATAAAAATATTTTCATTTGATTAAATATATTTGTAGTTCTTGTTTTTTTCCTCCTTAGAAGTTAGAAGTGTGTGTGTGTGTGTGATGATGATGATGATAGTAATAGTAATAATAATAATAACAAAAACAACAACAATATAGCCTCAGCCTGAGGCCCACCTTTTACGGGCCGTGCCGGTTTGCACACTAAAAATAAAACCCAACCCCAAGCCTGCTTTTTTTGCAGGCCCGTGGGCGGGTCTAATATAGCCAATCACATTTCAAGAATAACTTTTCCTGGGATTTGAGAAGGGAGTACCTCAGAGTGACAGAGGTGTAACCCCGACCTAAGTTGCTCTTTGAAGTCAACAAAATTATTTTTTATTTCACCAATTGAATTGTTGAGAGTAAACTCAAAGAGAATCTGTTGTTGCCAAAATGGAGAGTGGGACTCAGGATTTAAAGTCACTCCCCCTGGAAACTTCAAAATCTGAAAAGAAGATGACTGTCCAAAAACTGAGGCAGGCAAGATCAAATTAGCTTGTTCTAGAAACACTTCAAGAAGAGACGATCTCAGCAAATTCAAAGACGCTGAATTTATAGGTGTATCAATTGGATCAGAAAGGAAACCAAATGTCACATTGGTATGGTTTGATATTGCATCTGACCGGTGCACATGTAGAACCACAACCTGCAGTTAATTTATCAAATCACTTCTCACATTATTAATAAGAAGCTAGGCATATTCGGATTATTCGCATAGAGAATTATACACACAAAACACTCCACCCAAACCTTGTTATAAGACACAATTTAAAAGATTACCCAAACCAAGAAAATAGTTTGTTTTGTAGAGCTCTTTTAAAAATACTCCGTATTATGATACTTCAATGGAACTAAAAAAAAGTCATTATTGAAGATGTTTTAGATTTGGATAAATAATGGACTAAATTAAGATGGCACATTAAACTTCATTTTGCATTGTTCTTTTTATAAAGTTTTGGGTAGTAAAAGCAACATTGCATGAAGGGTCCAACGCAAACAGCTTTATTTGTTATTTTTAAGGGGTAAATTGCTGATTTTGCCTTCCCAAAGCCAGGAGTTGATTTATACTGGATTTTGTTGTCGTTATTGTTTCCAATTTTAGCTTCTTTTAATACTAGTAAATTAACGTTTCTATAAAAAAAGCATGGACACGTTATTACTAGGGACAATCAATACAAAAT